TATTATATAATCATACTCCCGTATACTCATGAAAATGCTACCTTCTTCAGGAAATCTCTCGAGATAACTAAGTGTTTCACCGTCGGGATGTGAGCACAACAGCGTAAACAACCACAATATAATCGCTTTTTAAAAAAAAAAAACTCTTTACAATGCATTGCGTTGACTAGTTTTTAATATGTAACCGAGTGTGTTGGGGCGATGTATAACAAATGCATAAAAACAAGTGTTATAGTTATATCAACGCAAATCTCAAAGTACCAGTAAATTTCAAATACAAAACCCAGTTTATGGGTAATAGTAGTCTTCTGTAGTCTATTGTAATACACGTATAAATCTAAGGACTTCTTCAAAGTCAGATTTCCATGTTGGCCCAGCCTGTAGTGTTCCTGCGTGCTTCCTTATTATAGGGTTTTCCCCTAACTTAAAGGTTCCCATATTAAGTCTTGTCCTTATGTGATATGGTGCTGATGATAACTGGACAACATAACGTGTATATGCATTAATGTCATTTATTCTATATAGCTAGTGTCAAACAATATCATATCATATCATATCATATCATATCATATCATATCATATCATATCATGTCATGTCATGTCATGTCATACCGCTTACTGAAAAATGAAAATGAATGAATATAACAAGTATATATTAGGAAACTGAAAAAGTAGATAACATTCACTACATACTCTCCCAATGTCTCATTACGTCATTAAATTGCAGCCTCGTTCGAAACGTACGGTCACCCTGACCAACTCATGCCGAACTGTGCTAAGCGAGTGGAATTTGTTACTTTTTATATCGTGGTATTTCAATTCAACCATTTATCATTGTGAGGTATAACAATATCTTAGTTTAATGATTATAACAGCTACGATCGAGATGAACAAATATGGCGGATATGATGACATATCCAGACGAAAAGCACCACTTTGCATTGGAAATCGAAACTACAATCTTACAGTCATATGCCGAGGGACATACATGCTTTAAAAAAACATCAGTTCAATCAATCATCTTAATACGTATACGACTAAATGTATCCCGACTCGTGTAATTGTATGTACAATGTTATACTAGTATCTAGACGGCTGTAATTCTATATTATCCTGAACATCTGAGAACAACTGTATGCCTTATTTACCAATCAATACGGACTTATCATGTTAACACTAATTCGCTATATTGACTACGCTATAGACAGCGTGCAATTGTAAGCAATTATACGGTACTCTCTAGTAATAGCTAAGCCTCTGTTTGACCTCTAACTGAACTCGTTCAACGTATAGACCTGGTGAACAACTTCGCTACTGCTAGGCAGTCGTATACATGAGACGCCACGTTGTAGCCCCACTGTAAGGCATTCTGGGAAAGGTGGTTCTCCGTCAAAGTCCCTTCGTGTGAAACAGTCTCTTTTACACAAATAATACACCATTTCTAAAATGCGCGTCCTCTATCGTCATAAACAGGTGAAACCATTGTAGTTCGTATCGACATCTGTATTTGGTTATGAAGTAATTCGCAATTTGGAATATAGTGAATCTCTCAAACCATTATTATTATTATTATTATTATTATTATTATTATTATTATTATTGGACGAAAACAATGTTCGTATATTTTTATTATTATTACGTACATTTTATTTTGTATTTTAACTCGTGGGCTACTAAACTAAACTAAACTAAACTAAACTAAACTAAACTAAACTAAACTAAACTAAACTAAACTAAACTAAACTAAACTAAACTAAACTAAACTAAAATAAAATAAAATAAAATAAAATAAAATAAAAGTATGTGAAAATATGTAATTAAATACATATAAAAAACACAATGAAAACTTAGTATATATGTTTTCAATTAAATTTAAAAT